ACTGAAAGAATGTTGTAAGACAACAAATACGTCAAACGAAGTTAAATCTCAAATCCTTATTAGAAACCAATACTCTAATCTAAAAACTGCAATGTGTTTTACTGCAATCATAATAATAAATTCAAAGTAGAGTGTTTTTGTGTCTATTTTCTTACTTGAAATATATTTATAACGTTGATGATAATTATGTCAACCGACACCAACATGAACACAGCTGAGTTACATTTCCTTTGCTAGTTTGCTACACAAAAAAAAATTTCGGCTAAATATATTATAAAGTAATGAGAATATGTATTTATATACTTTCTGCTGTTAAATACCTTATAAATGTCCATACCAAGGTACGAATTTAACGCTGAGACCTTATTATGCGGGGATTAATTTTGTGAAATGCTATGTCTTCACACATATGTCAACATTTTGATGGTGACTTGGAGCAGTATTTAAACCGGCAGCGGCAGTCGCTACTCGCTAGTCGCTACTCGCTAGCTATCAATAGTTGCCGGCTGAGCCGTGAGGACTGAGGACCGTCACTCTCGTCAAATGAATGCTCCTTTGATGATAAGTGATTAAATAAACAAATCCCGTGATATGGTTGTGACACTGTGACGGGTCACGCGGGGCTCGATGTAGTCCCGACTCCCGAGGATTCAATGACTACCAGTACAGGCAACAGGCTGTGCTTTAGTTTTTTTAATTTGTGTTTGTCATGAGTGACAATCTGACGGCAGTGAGGCTGTGATGTAACGTCATTTAGTTTACGGAGTTTACCCCTACCCTGTCGTTTCTGTAGACCAGTAGGCTCAGCACTAGGCTGGACTCTGGACATGGAGGCTGGGGGCCTACACTACAGTACAGGCTGTAGGCCTATTGTTGCCTATAAGCCTAAGGCTAAAGGCTGTATAACCTGTATTGCAGTTTATATAATTTATTGAGTTCATATTAATGTTTAATCATTTGTGTAATACATGAATTGTAAATACACTTTTTGTGTTCACTTTTAGTGTTGTTAGGTATCCAGTATCTGAGACTTCTGAGTAGTGAGTATCCACTGTACGGTGGTGGAACTCTGTCCTAAAATAACAAATTCAGAATTGGAATTTGGGTATTATTGCAGATTAACTACATCCAAAAAAAAGGGTGTTTTTTTTTAATTATATGTTTTTTGGGGTGTAGATTACGAATCTGAAATCCATTTTTGGCGGTCGGCATCGGAAAACCGATTTTGTCTTCTTTACCCGTTGCAGTGCAACGGGTTAGGCATTTTTAGCGCGATTTTTGGGTCGGAAAAAAATCGGTTTTCCGATGCCGACCGCCAAAAATGGATTTCAGATTCGTAATCTACACCCCAAAAAACATATAATTAAAAAAAAACACCCTTTTTTTGGATGTAGTTAATCTGCAATATACCGGAATTTGATTAAAATTCCATTTATTACTATAATCTTTGCCTTTGGTCTTCAATCTTGCCATTGCAAAATCACATATTTTGGCTAATGTTTAAATCTTGCTGCACAATCATCCTATTTTATTAACATAACAATAAAATCAGGATTAATTCTTGTAGAATGAAAATCAATTTAGCTTTGGAAATTGTAGGAAATACTAAAGAATTATTGCTCCCCAAACTGCCAGACACAAAGTGACCCAGTATGCAATTCTACACTCTACATTAGCATATTATTAATTATTCCATATTGGAAAACAAGACTTGATTGTTTGGAAAGCAGGACCTGAAAGCTTGAAAGGCCAGGAACTTTTCACTTTCAGAAATTCAGTCTATAATATACATATATGTTGATGATATCCCTTTCCAGCTGTGATTGGTTTTTGGTTGGTGGAATAATTGGGTTGGAGACTTCTTGGGTTGAAACATTTAGGGAACCCAAACTGTGTGTGCAGGAATGAGGCCAATGAAATTTGAGAGCACTGGTCGGCACTCAGCGGTCAGCTTGAGCTTGGTATTGTAGATTCTACAATACCAAGCTAACCTAGTGCAAGTGATACACTACAATGTAGAGTTGCACTAGTGACTAGGCTGTTGACTGGGCCAGGATTGGAATTTTCCTACTTGTTTCTGAAATCTTGTGGCTCCAATGTGACACATTTTTAATATATTTGGAATCTTACAGGCTGATGGTGCACTTTTGTTAACAATTAGATAGGAGGTAATTCATCTGGCGGGAGTCTTGCAATTCTGGAAATGACGGGGAAGCTCTAGTTGCGGCCCTAATGGTAGAAGTTTTCCATGCTCGTTGACTGCTAGTGGGGAGTAGTGCCAAATTGATGACCATGAGTCAGGCTGATATAGATGGGACAAATTTCAGTTGCAGTTTTTTTATGAGACATTGCCATCCAGACTGCACTGCACCAATGACAACAGGTAACTGTTTGGTATGCTGGCACTGGGCACAAACATGACACCGCTCACTGAAGTGGTTGCTGATCAGACATTGTGTTCTCAATGGCTGAATTTGATGGCTACTGGCTGAATTATTTGCGTTCTCAATGGCTACTGGCTGAATTTGAAGGTCAACATGCATGTTGATTACATTCAGAATTCTGCATATGTCATGGGTCATCAAGGTCACATGACAAACAATGCCAAAGATGGACAGAAGACCGTTCAACTGACAAGCTGATGGGTTGTTGATGCGACATAGTGACAAAGCACAGATTTTCTAGAATCAGTTCATTTTTAATTTCCTCATTTACTCCAAATTTATACCAATTTCTTATGTATAACAATGCTGGTATCCAGGATACTTTTCCTGTCTACTTATAGGACTCAAAAATGAACTTGAGGCAGAGTCTAAAAAAGTTTCTGCTTTGCCACTATGTGATGCGATACAGACAAACATTTATATCGCCTTTGAAAAGGACATGATCAGGAAAATCACAAGTCTGGTGAAGACATTGCTTAACTGAACAAAAAAAAAAAAAAATTGTGTGCTGCAGCAACCAATCCTAGATGATGGTTTGGTAACTGCAACATCCATAAATGAGGTGCAGGTGACCTTAACACCTAGCAGCTCAAAAATGTGTTGCAATGTATTTGGACTTCTTTGAAGCGTCAAATGAGACACACTCAACAAAGCAAATAGCAAGGATGTGCATGCAATATTTTTTGTGCAAGGCCATTTTGAACTTTAATAAAATAACCATTTTGTATTATATTAACACGTTAAGTGCGTCACGACCCACCGGTGGGTCGTAGCCGATATCCCTCTGCTGCGAAACGACCCACCAGTGGGTCGTTTATAAAAATAATACCAAATATAGATAAGAGCCCATAAAATTAGTTTCATTGAAATATACAGCATATTTCTGTTAGTATCATTAAATAAAAGTTTGAAATGATAGAAAATGAGTTTTACTAATTTATATAAGTGCCAAATAAAACTTATATATTACTTCCAGTTGCAAGTTTTTAATTTAAGGAAAATACCCGCAAGTTAGTGATGATGTTTTGAACTGAAACATGACCAGCACATAAAAATGGTTTTCCAGAGCATCCTTCACAAAATGTTGATACTTTTTGGCCTTTTTTTTGCAACCCAAACATAGCCGCACCAGCGGGCAGTCGGCAATTTCGGCCCCCGCACTTAACGTGTTAAAAAAATTCACATTTATAGCTTAATATCTGCATTAAACTGGACAAGAATAAGCCTAAAGATGTGTAATGGTATCCTCAAAAGAAGTAGTATAGTATCTTTGGCATTGAAGAATAGGCCTGTCGCCGATAATAATTGGCAATGGAAAAGCTGGGGCTACAGTTTCAATCAAATTTTCAGCTTTTTCTTATTTTTTCAATGTATTTACTTATTTGGATCTTCTGAACAGTTAGAATTTCCCCCAAAAAAAAAATCTTAATAATTTAGCTCCTCCTATGATTTCCAAGCTAGCATTAAGAAGCTTAACATTTGATTTATAAGGAGAATATCTAGCAACTCTAGAAGCCTTTTTAGCACATTTTCTCATTTATGGAAAAAATGCACTATTGTGCTCGCCATGTCCGTCTGTCCGTCCGTCCATGACCTCAAGTTTTCGTCGATGAGAAAATGCGCTCTCTGTCACTCACTGCAGTGAGTACTGAGTTATATTTTTTTCTGAATTGTACATGGTTTGGATTATATACCTATTTTAAAAAACTAGGGGAGAGGGAGGAAAATGGTAAAATTTGAAAAAAAAAGCTTCTAGTCAATAAATATTCTCTTTGCAAATCACATGACATTTTGCTTGATGTTCTAGCAAGTAAATTGAAGGAGATGAATTTATAAAAGGGCCCATTTTTTGCAGTTTTCAATGCACTTCATGCTTCATATGAGCAAAATGTTTTCTTCTAGTGATTAACATAGGTATTTCTAAAAAGTTTCAGAAATATCAGGCCTCCAGTTTAGGAGCTAGTTTTGAAGGTAGACTTCTCCTCTTAACATGTCCTCATCATCACTTGTAATCTGTGCTTATCTACTAGGTTATCTTAATGCTTGAATTGGCAGTAAGTACATTTGCTGATCAACCACCATAATGTTGCGTTGCATTGTTCTTTGTGTGCTTGTATGAAATTAATCTACTCTGTCACAAGGTTTCCTTGTATTATGAATATAATTTCCTCTTTTTGGCTTTATTTCCTTCTCATATTGATCATTATTATTTAAGAAAAGATTAGTTACATCATTTGAGTCTTTAAAATATGCTTGATATTTGCTAATTTTTGTATTTGTTAACAAATATTTTATTTTTTTGAACAAGACTGTGTGGACTTGAACTTCTCTGCCTTGACAATGTTAGTCATTGTAACTGAAATATTTAACTGAAAATAGAAATCAATTTTTGATTAAATCTGTGACCAGAGATATTGATACATTTTGCATGTCTTACAAGCTGGTTGAATGTTGCTTCAAACTTTTTAGTCAAAAATTTCTATTGGCCTATGAAACAGTCTGGGAATGAAGTAGATAATTTCAATTGTTTCTCAGAAAGTTGGCATAGATTCCTCTTACAGAAATGAGGCAAGAAACCTTTGAGATGGCAGGAGAATTTTCAAAATAGTATCCATACTATTAAAATTTCTTGTTGATGTGCAGCTAATATAACATATTAGGTAGGATTTGTACCAAGTTATAAGTTAATATTGATAATAATCATGTGGGAATGGAAGGACTTCACAGAAGTGAGACGTTGGCATGTCCTCCACTTGGTCCTGTGTGTGACATTCTTCATAGCATCCCTAATGATCAATGCAGTCCAGTTCATCCTATATTTCACCATCCGACCCTTCAACAAATCTCTGTACAGAAACATCAACTATTACCTCATGTATAGCATCATGGCACGTAAGTTATCTTCTGGCCATTATATACCTATTATACAGGAACCTCATATTTTTGTGATGCTTTGCAGTATAAATTCATGATGACAATAAATACTGTCCTATATTCATCTGGTAAGCTTTCAGAGTTAATTTGAACCATCATTACATCTGTAAGCTTGTGTTAGATTTTTTTAAAAATTGCATCCAACATTAGAGAAATGCATTTCTATGATTTTTTTAATTAAGATCTTTTTATCCTACAGAGATATTGTTCCTGGCTGAGTGGTGGTCAGGGTCAGAGGTGCGGGTGTACACAGACCCTGAGGACAGAAAGCTGTGGGGCCGAGAGCACTCGCTCATCATCATGAATCATACGTATGAAGTTGACTGGCTCATGGGCTGGATGGTGGCTGATAGATGTGGCGTCTTGGGGGTCAGTACTTTTTGAGGTGATATTACTCTTAATGTTTGTGATATTATTCTTCATTTTTGTGATATTATGGAACAGTCTTGAAGTTGCATTATAATTTGGAGACTGTATGCTGATGTCTTCTATTCACTATGTATTACTTTACAGGCAGCAAAAGTGTTTGTGAAGAAGATGATGCAGTATGTGCCTACCATCGGATGGGCCTGGCATTGTTCGGACATCATCTTCTTGAGTCGTAACTGGCAGGAAGATAAATCCATCATGCAGTCCCAGATCAAGGAGTTTTATGACTACCCCTACCCTATATGGGTGAGTGTGGGCTTTTTGCCCGTTGTCTACGGATAATTTAACTGCCCTCAATTCTATTTGTACATAAAGGCCTGAGACTGAGAGGTCCTTTCTGTACACAGAGGGTTAAGTTGCTACCTATGTGAGTAAGGGTTTATTCTTTTTCATATATAAGGGCTGTTTATATTGTGAGTGGAAGCTGTACTGCACATCATCTATTAACCATAGTTATTGCTGCCCCTTAAATCATCACTGCTTTTGTAGCAGAACTTGCAAATAAATTATCACTCTGGCCGCATTTCTTGATTCGCACTTCTTTATTATTCATTGCTCCTCTTAATACATAATGTACATCACTTACTTCCATTGATGATCATATGGTTAACGAATATAATGAAACCTGATGAGTAAACAAAAGTTTAACACTTGTGTGCCAAAAGAGGGGGGAGTAACACCAAACTTGAAGACTAATTTTATTCTATTCTCACACTATAAATGCCCAATTCCGTGCTTTATCCAAGCAATATAATATAAAAGATGATGCAGCTGCATCAAAATGCATCAAAAAAGGTGACCACAAGTATTCCAATGAAGATCAACATGTCCATCGCAATTTGTAACTTCAATGTAAATGTACATTATTCCCACAATTGTATTGAATTTCCTACCCCACCCCGCAGATGCTGCTGTTTGCTGAGGGCACACGCTTCACGCAACAGAAGCACCAGGCGTCCATGGAGTTCGCCAGGGAGCGCGGCCTGCAGCAGCTCAAGCGCCACCTCATCCCTAGGACCCGAGGCTTCATCCAGTGCGCCCAGAGCCTCCAGGGACACTTCCCCGTCATCTACGACGTCACTGTTGGATTTAATACGTAAATGTCTTTCTTGGTACCTATATGTGATGTTCATACTTTTAAAAACTTTTCCTCGTTCCAACGTTCCTCGAAGCATCTTTGGGACTGACAATCTCAGACGATATATAATCGAGTGTAACCTGCTGCCGGATATCTAGCACAGCACCATGACATAGGTCTGAAGAGACCCACACCCCTGGCTAAACACTATACTCGTGTCATCATGTTACTGGTTGAGATGAAATAGCAGAAGACTGATAGAACCTGCGCCTTGGAAATAGAAAAGCATACACCCTAGACCAGATGGATCAGGCCACGAGCCTGAAACCAACGAAAAAGCCTGACCCTGCAAAACGAATATCGGACCTTCGGCGCGAAATAGACTACACTGATCTGAAGCGCTAGAAACCTCTCCCTACTACTAGGTACTACTTAAAAACTTTTATACATGACCGTGAGGTCAAAGACGTTAGCGCCATATAGCATGACAGCTATCTCGTGAATGTTGTGATGTATCACGAGTGATAATTAAGTCCAAGTTTGCCACACCAAGGAAGATCTTTTCCTTGAACATGTCTTTGGTTCATTTTAGTGCATGTTCAGTTGTTTGGAAGGTAGTTGTTTTGGCCCTGTGTAGGACACCGGAATTATTGTTCCAGGAGAGGCCAGTTTGCTGTGCCAGAGGTTTATTACATTGAGGGTTGTAGGGTTGTTAGCTCGCAATCAAAGAGGTTTGGCAAATCGTCCGGGAAGAAATGACATTTGTTGTAGATGATTTGAGTCTGCTCTTGTAATTATGTAATTAGTACTTTGGAGAATGCAATGACCGGAGCAAATTTGTGCCAGCGCCCGGCTTGTTGAACTAAGTCCTAGAGAGTGATTCATCAGATTTGTCTATTTGGAGTGTAGGAGCTCAGCCACTCAGCAGGACTGGTGCGTTGTAGGTACTGTTGGCGGCATTGATTGCAGGGAGTTACTAGCTGCTTTAGTTGCTGTACTTTTGATGTTGATTGCAAGTACTGCTTAATTGTTGTTTTCGGTGAACAATGAAACTTCAGGTTTACAGTGTGCTGATCTTGAATAGATAGTGGAAGTGACACTGGGCCGTTTTTTTTTTTTTTTTTAAGATTGATTGCTGTTTTAGAGGTGGAAATTTCCAGATTATGGTATGTGAAAACTTGAAAATCGCAGTTGATGGAATTTTTTGCTGAATTGTTGGATGAGGAGGTCGGCATCAGGACTGGTCTTGAATTATGTGATAATTTTGATGTTGGAGATGGTTGAGGTGCATTGGTGGTATAGTAGTGATGCAATTTGAGCCTTGTGGAATGTCACTATGGAAAATTTTCTGTTCAAAGGTTTGTTTTTAGAGTACAGCTGAGAATAAACAGCCATATAAGAAGTTGGGGATCCAGAGGCTGATTGTTTTGGATTGTGAGGTTAATCAGAATTTACTCTGGTTGACAGCTTTGGTCTGGTCCAGTGCAGTGAAGAGTGTTCGGTTAACGGGTCTTGTTTCAGTTTAGTCCATAGAGGATGTTTTTGGTGAGTAAATTACGGACAGCTGTGGTCAAGTATCTGTGTTGTAAGCCATTTTAGTGATCGACCAGGGCAGATGTTGTGTGAGAATGGGCAGCAGTTATTATTTCAGCCCTTCGATAGCGGTGCAGAGCAGTGAGATTGGTTGGTAGAATTTTACGCCATTGTTGGGTTTAATGGAGGTATGATTGTAGGGGACTTATGTACATCAGATATACAACATGTTTAGAGGAACTCATTGTAAGAGATTGGCAGATAGGTAGTTCACAATGATTCGAGGTATTTGAAGTGAACGATGTGAGTTTATCTGGTCTGGTGGCTTTTTAGGAACGGAATTGTTTGATGGCTATGACTACATGGAACATTGTGATGGAAGGATGGTTGTAGAGGCTGAGATTTTCTTGGTGTTCCGACTTGTGATTCTGTTGAATTGGTCTTGTTCTGGTTGGAGGAGGCAAAGAGATAGTTGCAGTGATCGAAAAGCTTTTTGTTATTGCTTATATTGCTCTAATTCTTGCTTCGCTGTTGGGCGAAATTGATGATTTCTTTAGAGAATCCTGGTTTTGGGTAGATGTGGCGGCCAGAAGGAATGTTGTGGTTGCTTGAAGATTTAGACAGGATTGCTTCTCGGTCGTTGACAGGTTATTGAGGATGATGGAGTTGTTCTGTGAATTGGCATGTGGTCGAATCATAGAGCGGCCTTGATGTTGCAGTCTTTGTGGGTGATCTGGGTATCAGAGGCAACCGATGGACCGATAGGTCCAGTGATGAAATTTTCCATTGCATGAAAAATTTCATGCCTTTATTTCAGTTTATGTTCATCTTAGGAAGGAAGGAGCTGAGCCTACGGTGCTGAACATGCTGCAGGGACGTCGCGTGGTGGGAGAAATGTACATTCGCCGGTTACCTCTGAGAGATGTACCTGTAGGGGACGACCAGAAGACCTCCCAATATCTACATAATCTCTACCAGACCAAGGACCGTCTGCTGGACAGCTACTGTAACACGGGAAGCTTCACCAGCCAAAACGATATGCCCAAGTTTGTTGTAGTAATGATAAGGTGATATGATGCATGCAAACACAAGGGGAGTCGAGTTAACACTGGGCTCGCCCATTGTGTCTGGGAGGGGTGTAGATGACTAGTTTTTTCTCACTTAAGCGTGTGTCGGTTCTGTACAAGATGATGGATAATTCGCTTATCAAGTTATCAATGTGCTTCCAAGTACCTGAAAACAATCCATGACCTTGCATAAACAGAGTTAGCATTACCAATATCACGACGTGAACACAGGAGTTGCCTTGGTCATTTTTCCTGGTTGCTCTCTGAAACACGGCTTCAGAAGTTGATTGCAACTACCAGCCCACAACAAGTTATTCTTTTATGAGGCCTTCTAATTAACGAAGCTATTAAAATCTTTATGGTCACATTAACTTGACTTGTATTGGTAGTAGTACCACCAGCACCACACGATCGTTGCTTACTGGTTCTTTGTCTCCAGTTACTCGGTGGTCACCCTGGAGCGTCGATGGTACTCACTCCTGAACGTGATGGCGTGGGTGAGCATCGCCGTCTACGGAGGAGTGAGGGTCATGTGGAGCGCCTCCCTCCTGCTGCAGTGCACGGGGGCTCTCATTTTCCTCCTGGGTGAGTGGGGCAGGTGGGCAAAGCTATTGGGAAGTGGGGGTAGAAGTTAAGGAATATGGTGTATAACTTGAAAAGTTGGTTTAGAACTTAAGAGAGTGAAGTGTAGAATTTAGAAAATGTTTGGTAGAACTTGACCCTAATCGCGTGGGGCGTGCGAGGAAACGCCCTTCATTTCAAATAACCTTCGTAAAAAAAATAACCACAAAGCTCAGAGCCTTCGAGATAGGTACTCTTAACTGAGATCTATTCTTTATGCAGGATCAAAAATGTTTCAATTATTTTTATCTAAAATAATTAGGTTGGTCATTTAGCAAACTACGTATAAATTTTTACCACCGAGTGGCCGGCAAAGAACTCACAGACAATGAAATAAAAAAACTATTGTATTGTTGTATTGCACCAGCAATGAAGATGCACATGTTCTCAGGCCCACACACCTGAATGACTTTGTCTCCTCAGAATTCGATAACATCACCACAATATCGAGCGGTCGGAATTGTACACGGAAATAGCTCTGCTTGAGACCAGAAATCCGGTCGTTTCATTCTCATAATATTTAAAAAATGATTTCAAGTTTAGAATTGTGGGTTTGATGACTGCAACAATCTATAGGTACCAATGTCATGTGAAATAATCGCGGCGTATGCAAGATGCAAGGTATCTAAAAAAATACTTAACAAAACGAAGGGCAGAAATCATTGCCCACGAGGTTGTAGCGTGACACGATAACTCAAGGCAATTAGGGTTAACAATCTGAGGTACAACTCAAAATAATGAGCTGTAACCTGAAGGAGTTGGTGTAGAGAATGGGTGTTTGTAGGGCAGTATCGCGTCACTCTTCTCAACTTCTGGATGCTGAAGTGGATGGTCGTGCTGTGGATATAATCAGTACCATGTAATATGCGCTCTCTGCTTAATGCCTTTGGGAAAATTAGATAATGAATTTTGAACTTAGATTTGTTGATCATTAAATGCGCAGAAATGTGTTTGGTAATGACAAATGGATTTATTTTCCAGCATATGTGGGCTTGTACAAGCTCATTGGCTTGACGAAGATCACAAAGGGTTCCGAATATGGTAAGACCTCTCCCACCACACACTCCCCTCCGGCATCTTCCCCACTCGCTCCCTCTTCCACTTTGTCAGGCAATTCCAAGAAAGTGGAATGATTCTTAGCATTCCTTGGAGCTTGGTATGTCGTCTTGTTGAAGCCATGTCGTCGTTTGCATGGCAATCTGTTGCAGGCTGACCCATGACACTCTGATGTAATTTCCGCTAGTACTCTGCAGTTATTAATACCCCATGTATTGCGGAATATAACTTTTACCAATATGTAATAAAGTAAAGAAAGTGGGGGAACAAAAACTTTACACTGAGACGTGCTGCACGGACTGGGCATTGAGTTTGGGTTTGATGATCATGGGTGAGTGTTGTGCGGACTATGGGATAGATCGTATGCATTCTAGTGCAAATTTCGGTACATTTCTTCCAGTCACAGGACTGCGTGTTCCACTTCTGCCAGTACTTAATTGTTAATTAATTAGGAAACCATTACGTTGATTGAATGTTTGTGGCTGAACTGTGGAGCTTAGTTCTTGGGTCATCGCAATTTTTGCAGCGTTTCCCGTGTCACTTCCTGGCGTTATGCTGGTGTCTATCAGTGTTATTTACACCCTCCAGTCAGATATGCAATGTGGGTCGATTACTTGAACTTGATCCAAAGGCGCATTTTCTACAAGAGTCCATGTGATCACTCCGACCTCCAATACATACCAACCCACTGTCAGCTTCGGGAACGATTGTTCTGAGTGGTGTATTCAAATTTGTTCATTCTTTGAAGGGAATCATTCTATTCTCACCATTCGTCGCTCTAGTCATGTATAGGGTTGGCCAATTCTAATAAAGTCGATGTGTTGATGTGATAAATAATGTTGACTTGATGTCAGTTTTATGTGTCCATTTGTTTTGACGACTTTGAAGTTCCTAGCTTTCGTGAGGCTTCGTTTTTCAAGCGTGTCCTCTTCGGCTCCTGAGCTTTCGCCTCTCGTTGCAGGGGCCATTTTCGTTACCGTTCACTTGCTCATTACCGACCTTCTCAATTGTGTGCTCCATTACTTACCCTCTCAATTGCCCATTACCAACCCCTTCAAATTGTGTGCCTCATTACCAATCCTTTCAAATTGTGTTCCCCAATACCGACCCTTTCAAGTTTTCTGCCCCACTACCGACCCTTTCAAATTGTGTGCTCAATTACTTACCCTCTCAATTGCCCATTACCAACCCTTTCAAATAGTGTTCCCCAATACCGACCCTTTCAAATTTTGTGCCCCATTACCGACCTTCTAAATTGTGTGCCCCATTACCGACCCTCTCATTTACGTGCCCCTTACTTCTTCCTCTCTTTGCCCGAGTATGTGTAGCCAGAGCACTTTGTCGTAAACTCCTAATCAAACATGGAAAATGTCAAATTATTTTAACTGCAATCGTTATTTTGACTGTCAGGCCCCACATATTTATGTAGGCTTCACCGTCTGTCGGGATTTAGTAAACTGTACCATTGGCATTCTTCAGCAAGTTATAATTTAAAGGCTGTATTTCACAGGTTCTTGAAATGTTTCCAGCATTGATTTTTAAAGCTTGATTAAAGTGGCGAACTGAGCCGGCGTCTGTTGGTGTGTACACATCAGTGTATACATCACTGATAGTGCTATCAGTGATGAGTACACATCAGTGAAGTGTCTTGCCCACCATCGTCTTTATATTCATCATCTGGATGAATTATTGAAGCAGTTACCATAATCTCAATCTGACAGAAGCCTCTGTGGCCAAGTGGTGCTAGTTTATCTTCATGCTCATTTTGACTAAGTTACTAAGTTGATCAATCAAAATAAATTTCTCACGAGTTATTATCAAAGTATGTCGTATTTAAGTATCTTATATTAGTTTAAAATTTTTATGCAGTGCCTGAGTTGTAAGACATAGGTAGAGCATTTCAGGTATGCAGCTACTGTAGTCTTAAATACGAAGTGTGCATTCAAAGACGAACAAAACAGCAACGAAGTTGACATTTGTGTGGTGATCTCTCGCCGCCGCTGGTCCCGTCAGCGCTTCTGTACAATTTTTGAAACTTATATGAATTGATATTTACTCTGAAATTTACACACGCTTTAACATTTTAACACTTATTGTGTTGATGCATTGTGTAATTACATATTATAAAGCTGAGTAAATAAATGTTATTAAATTGCGCTCATCAAAAGAAAAACATTGACTTTGTGTCTGCGGTCGCGGTAGTTGCGATGTAGCATGCACTGCTGTTGACACGGACGCTTAGTTCTCTTCAGTCGACCAATATTAACTGTACGAGCATATTGTGTGTTTACAAATATTTCTTCGTGTTTTACGAACAAAATTTTTGTTTTGCTGCCGCTGTTATGTAATTTAAATTTCGATTTTGATCTCTGTTTTTTTGTGGTGCAGATCCGAGGCTCTTTTTAACACATTTTCTCATTTATGGAAAAAATGCACTATTGTGCTCGCCATATCCGTCCGTCCGTCTGTCTGTCCGTCTGTCCATGACCTCAAGTTTTCGTCGACGAGAAAATGCGCTTTCTGTCACTCACTGCAGTGAGTACTAAGTTATATTTTTTGTTTTTCTCAGCAGTTGACCCCCGTCGCTTGATATTACCTGTATTAATGCTCATTAATACAAGCTATTTTATTTTGCTTTTCGCGAAGTTCTTGTGTGTTTGTGTAGATCTTTCTGTGTTGTTTTCACTTTAGTTTGCTCGCTGAGTTGCTGCTTGTGCGCCCTGTTTTATTAATGTTTACAGAAACGATAAATGCGCTGTGCACTTTACTTTTTTGACAATTTTTCACCTGTTCATATCGTCATTGACGCCATCTCCAGTCAAGTTTTGTGTGTCTCAGAAGCTGTTCGTCATCCTTGCATTGATTTGGTTGACAATACTTCGTATTGTCCTGGCTGTCAATACTTAGTTAAACCTGTTTGCAAAGACTTGTATTGATCTTGTATTGATCTTGTTATTGATCAACCATGTCAATACTTGGTATTGACATGGTTGCCAATAATTATTATTGAACAAGTTACTAGTTTTTCAAAGAAGGGGTAATAGTTTCAGTAGCGCACATGCTTACAACACGAGTGGTGCGCGCAAAAGTTCCTCAGTCGCTTCTCCAACGACAGCACGAAAGGCGGAATTCTTTCTTAATTTGGAACAGAAGAAAGCGGAAACCTCTGCCACTCATTACTGTACTTTTTATTTAACTGCTCACCAGTCTTGAAATAGAATCATTATTTTTTATGTAGGGCACGGGGTTTGAGATTTAAATTATGTTGTCACCGCAGTGACGTGCAATCCGGAAATGCAATGAATATGTTGTGTAGAATTTTGTGTCAGGATATCGCGGCTGCCTCCACACGAATGACTAGGTTTTCACGATAACACGAGATGATGATCGCCCTGGATAACGACAACTACAACTCTTTACGGAAATAGTGCAAGGATGCGTACGAGTTCAGTTCAAATCGGCCATGAAGTGTGTTTGAAGGTCATGAAGCTTATGTCTAGACACCATTCTTTGTTAATCCATTACTAATAATTCGATTATTGGCCGAATATTATGCTTAACCGCTCCAGTTGTCTTACTATTACCTGGAGCGACTGATGATGTTACTTTGTGACCATCTTTGTTGTTGGCAGATAAATGCACTTATTGGCTAATTTATCGTTCCTGAACCACCCTGTCGCTGGGTCAGTTAAGAACTCTTTCCTATTGCAGTCACTACAACTAACTCGTCCACTTCCAATTGAACGCTAGTAAATCTACTACTACTACTACTACTACTTCTGATTTTTGTTGTCTCCTCGTTGAGTGATGGATTAATTCAACTTGAATGAATTGACTGCGCCGGAGAGAAACCAACTAACGTTTTTGGTGCACGACAATGACCTTGAAATGGCGTTGATTAAAAGTTGATGCCGTCGAACTGAAGTCGAATATTACTCGGAAGGTCATCGCTTATTGTGTACGCAGCATGATATTATATTGCTTCATCTCGTCACTACTTTGATTATGTTCTATATTTTAGTACAAAATTCAAGTAGGAAAAGTGTATACTATTCATATGTGCCAGCAATGCTTATGTTTGTTCCAATTCATTTAAGTTTTTATGAAATGACAGTTCAGCTTTTTTGACTGTGTATAAAATTGGTTTTAAATTCCCAAATTATTGTGTGCGTTTTACTTCGTGTTCCTCTTATTTTGTTTTCGGGATTTTTTTCGGTATGTGCAGTGTTCTCAAAAGTAGTTTTTGTTCACTCCACGTGTTTTTCTAGGCAGCTGTTGTGTAGGGGGGTACTTACGTATTTTTTTGCATGTTCATGTCGTATGAATAAATTACATTTTCGTATGCGTATATTACATTTTCAAAGTTTCATGTAGCTCGAAGAACACGTTTTGTTTGCCTATCGCAGACACCGTCGCTGTGATGACGCTGTGGGGTGAGGTCGCTACATGCCCTCCATCTTTTTCTTCTCAATCACGCCTCTTCCCTCCAGTTTCTGTGAGGTATCATTCCTGGGTTTAATGTTGCACTTATTGTGTAATTTAAATAATGACATTTCTTGTTGCAGAACTGATAATGGAGAATCGTAGCATAATCTTTACTTCATAACAAAGGGCAGGCAGGTAGGAGGAACGTTTTATCACCTCTTATGTCCTGTACATGTGAATATTTAGCCTTTACCTGACGGTCCAGGGATTTATCTCGCAAGAAATAATATTTACATTGTACGGTTATGGCTAGGGCTATCTTAGCACTGATGTTAAGAAACGAGTTATGTATATAGTCAAGTTTCTTCGTCATAATAAAACGAAAATGTTCCTATGTAGTTCATTTACCATTTTGTGATCCATTTATTTGAAAGCCGTTGAACGCGTAAATTTGAATGAAGTGTTGCGTTGAAGAATTTTACAGCGATTATGAAGTGGCACTTATAAGGTTATTTTACTCACACGTCAGTAGACGATGGCATGCAAATTTGTCATCAACTGGAAAGTTTATATAGTTAAAAGAATGCAAGGGAAATTACATCATAATTACCGTCGACTTAAATGATACTATAGAGGATAAATAAGTCAACGGGATATAGCAGAATTAGACAAGAATTCGCCGTTCTTATTACGAAAATGCATTTCAAGAAACTACGCGCCTTCGTCGTAGCTCACCGTTACCTCGTCGTAGCTCACGCGAGACACATTAGTGGGATCATGAAGCACCACAGGGGTGGTTATTACGAGAGTTTTATTTGCAATGGTAATTTTTTATGAATGTTCCTTATCCATGTCTTGTATTGCTAGAGGAAATTTGTACTCCTTGTATAAATTTCCATTGCATTATAATTTATATAGATGAGTACTCGAATCATTTGTGTGCTTATATCGCAAGTTCAACAAGAATTTTAAAACAACGAAAGCGCCAAGTAAATTGATCGTATAATAACTGAAAACCTTGCGGAGGCAAGCTCCATCATCAGATCTGAAATTAGAGAATATACGTGCAACCAGCAGAGAAAATCAAATTGCGTGGATTGCAACAAGACCTAAGTAAGATAAAACAGACTACCGAATAGAATCTATTATCCAGTGGGTAGAACCTGTTAAGACAAGATTTATGCATGGAAATTCCAGTATCCGAGCCACCAGAGGAGGAACGAGTATGTTGCCATCTTTCTCCAACACAATTACGTCGCACTTTCAGCTTGATTGCGCTAAGCTGACTGAGACGGATTAGAGTGATAGCTCCTGCTGCAGTGTTCAGTAGCTCCTATGTAGGAGCTACGCGACGTCATTTCAACTCCTTAACTTGTACCTGTGCTGTATTCGACAGTAATTTCATGATTGATTATTTATTCAGGTATACAAGGATGTTGTTCATGCCAAGATGCGGTCGTTCTTGGTTTATGAACATAGTTGCGCGTGATGCGCCTCGGCATACATCGGAATGACGCTGCGTAATTTTTACAGCCGGGGTATCGTGAATCACAGCAGGAGTTATCGTTTGAATCTACCACTCTCAAATCCGTCTCACTCTTTTGTACACCATCACACGCTAAAAAAGTGCGGCGTGTAAGCACAGGAGAAATTTGATATTTTATTCCACCTCTAATGGTTCGGATTTCAGATTCTCGAACTCGCCACTCGCTGCTCCTGTGCTCCATTTTTGCTGTGCTTAATCGCCGGGCCTCCTCGTAATTCTGACCAAAAACTGTCGCACAAAGGTAAAATCGGACCCGCCCCTCTCTGCACCAATCCTGTGAACTGTAACCACTGGGCCACCCATTATTTGTTTCACGGCGTGTTTTCAAACGAAGACTTAACCTTATATGGAATACAATTCCTATCTTCTTAAAGTTGCGAACTTTTACGTATTCAAGTTCTTTTGGCCTATTTTTATTATTCAGGTTTGTTCTTATCAGTGTAACTTGATTTTCCTTGCTGATAATACTCGTACTCTCTAATTTTTGGATTGATGATGGAACTGGCATTTAAAACTGTTTCAACGAAGATATAGCATATATATTTGTTCTTTATTGTTGTTAAATCACGTATTTAGATGAGATGTTTGAATTTAGAAGAGCTAACCGTGAATGAGCTGTATTGCAATACTGCTTGTCAGGCTAAGCATTTTATTGCTGACATGTCACTAAGTGCCTTGTTTATCGAATCTATATTGTTTGTTTTACCTTTAAATATCTATTGACCATGAAATTATAAATTAACTATTGACTCCAGTCATTTCAAGTAATTATTCATATACTGAAAACTTGTCACAAACATTAGGAACAAACTGTCCGTTTTTCCGTTTTTCAGTGCGAGACGCAATTGGGCTCTGGCCTTTGGTACAGTTGTGTAGATGTGTCTTATTCATCTAACGTTACAGTATATGATCCTAGTTATTTTAGTTAGCGAAGTGCTAGTGAGGTTATCAGAAGTATGAAGACTTCCTGAATATATATCCTGAACAAGTAATGATGTAAGTTTGGCATTTTCGAATCACCAATTAGTTCATGTGATTGCGCAGTTACGTACTGAGATCACGTTTAGTCGGTTTTTAGGCAACTGCGCATGCGTCGACTTAGAAGGATTTTCCTGTCTTAACCGGGAAACTTGAAATTACGCCTTTTGTTCAATTCTATGTTTGCTCATATGTAGCATTGGGGCATTTATATCTAGAAATGCACTCTCTGATATAAAATACTCCAATTAATTATAAGGATTAATTATTTGCTTTATAGTAAGGAAATAATATTGGCAAGAATTTGTAGGTATTTCTATTTTTTTAGCATGCAAACGTTTCATTTGACATACGTTACACAGAGGACAGGGGTGAGGGTGAGAGGTCGTTGGGTACGTTCATGAAAAATTGAAAAATAATACGTTTTGCTGCCTGGTCGGCTTATCTGTTGTAATTTGTCCTAATTTGTCTATGAGACTTTGTATAAGGGGCCTAAATATTTTTCTGTTCAATTTAGGCTAAATCAGTTAGCCTACCTAATATTTGCCAAAGTTTTTTGTTAAAAATTTTCTCTTGAAATACCTATCATTCTTCTGCCAAACCTGTTTCCATTAAACCTTTATGACATGAAATTGATGAAAAATTCTCTAGGACTTAAGTTAAGAGGAAAGTTATTTTGTGATTTTAGATTGCAAGTTAGTGAATAGCCTAGCTAGCCCTATTAGATCATGATTAGATTAATATTTAATAATACAGTTAAAATGACTGACAGGTTTTGAATGAATGTGGACTGTGGTGGACTGGTGGCACTCTCAGCATAGCCTGCCAGTCTCTTGATATTAGTTGCTTGTTCACTTCACTATCCTTTCCCCACTTGTTTTTCTAAAAAATCTTGTTGAAAATGCTTATCAAAAATTGACAGTCATCTTGACACATAAGATGATGAGTCATGCGTACAAATTATTGTTTTTTGGTATTTAACACATTAAAGCCTATTTGCAACTTGTGTTGCCACCTTAACAGGTATTAGTGTAGGTATTACCTATACCTACTTTAGATTAAGTGCATTCAAAAAAAGGGTGGTTTTTTTAATTATATGTTTTTTGGGGTGTAGATTAAGAATCTGAAATCCGTTTTTGGGCGGTAGGCATCGGAAATTTTTAATGAAACCTGTTCCTAACTGGACCTAACCTGCAAGGTTTTCGTTGATCGGCTAGGTTTTTTCTATGTTTGGAGTCCGTCCGGCGGCCGGAAAAAACTAGCCAAACAACGAAAACCTCGCAGGTTAGGTCCAGTTAGGAACAGCCAAACAGGTTCCATTAAATATTTCTGATACCAACCGCCAAAAACAGATTTCAGATTCTTAATCTACACCCCAAAAAATATGATTAAAAAACACCCTTTTTTGAGTACACTTAATCTAAAGTAAATTTCTGTTTTATAGTCCTACACTGCATTGTACATGTTCCATACGATTACTGAACAAGAATTGTTCACCTCAGTTGCTCCCACTTCAGTCAGTTGACCTTTCTAGGTTTTCGTTGATTGGCTAGGTTTTTCTGGCCGCCGGACCTGGACGGACTCCAAACATAGAAAAAACCTAGTCGATCAATGAAAACCTTGCAGGTTAGGTCCAGTTAGGAACAGGTTCCATTAAAAATTTCTGATGCCAACCGCCAAAAACAGATTTCAGATTCTTAATCTAGCTACACCCCAAAAAACATATAATTAAAAAAAACACCATTTTTTTTGGATGCACTTAATCTAAAGGAATACCTCAAAAATTGACAGTCATGTGTACAAATTATTGTTTTATGGTATTTAATACGTAATTTTTGTTTAATTTTGTTGAATAACTGGAATTTATTTAAAATAATTTTAGATTGAATAACAATGTTAGGTACCTACTCTGGTGCTGGAACTTGGAAGCATTGACGTTTCAAGTTACTCACGTTAGTACTTGAAATTAATTTGTATAGCAATTTTGTATGCATTCAATGAATTAAAGAGTAGATTGTAATAAGATACCTATCAATCTTATTTTAAATTTTTCAAATTCAAATGAAAAAATTTTGAGAAAGAAACTTTCATATATGTATATATATGTAAGTTTGATTGAAGACCAGAGCATGCTTTTTATTAACAATCTTCTTGTTCGTTTTTTCTGGAGTTTCACACTGTTGTCATAGGTATCATGAAGCTTGCTCAATTCTTCGGTAATCTTGAAGGAAGGTATATATATGTTTGTACAATAAAGGTGCTTATGCACGGGGCTATTAGTTGCGTATATTGGTTGCGTCTACTAGACGTGGCTACTAAAATTTGTGATGTTTGACGTGTTCAGAGGCAACTAGCTGGTTCATTGCAGGCAGAGCACCTCAAGTTGTTTTGAAGCAGTCTATTGCGCTCAGTAGCCGTCCAGCCATCATAACAAGCACAGCTGCGTCATGCTCTCTCTCTCTCGCCCACTGTAGCGTGCACTGCTGTCTTGCTCTCGCATGACTCTACCATGCACACCCTTTCTCGATAACTCCCAATGTTGCACTGACGCGGGCGCAGTGTACCGAAAACACTATACTTGTGTATAGGCTCGCAACCTGAAAAACTGATACACAACCAATATATGCAACTAATAGCCCCATGTATAAGCACCTTAAGGTAGTCATGTTCCAGAAAATACTGATGCATAGTATATTTTATTTTGCTTGCTTAAAATTAGTATATAGACAAATGAGACAATACTTCTTCCATTTTATGTCCATTTTAACCATTTTTAAATATACCGTAACAGATATTATCTGTTTTTATCAAAAGTATTCATTCCAACCTATTTATTTATGCTTAAATCTTTCATTGATTTCAGGATGTCATCAGAGGTGCAGCAAGTCCCTTTATCTTGCTCTTCTGAGTCACTGCAGCTGCCACCCCATCCCCAGTCCCACACATCAGCTGATGCAGCAAGGCATGTTCACTTTGTTGAGGGTCGGATGTCCTCTCGACCCAACAACTTCAGCAGCAGGTCAGTCAGTTACCACTGCTCGCAGTTGATGTGAACAGCCACAATTTCTTTGGAATTGAATTTCCTGATTTTTAGACTTATCACAAATTTACTAAGTTTAATCCAAGTGTTGGTTACTGTTACAGATATGTGCCATGTTAAATAACTAAATTCAAGAAATGTAAATTTTACTTCCTGTGTATGCAAAATTGCATGAAAAATAAAGTCACCCTTGTATGAAATAACCAATTGAAGAGATGGGGCCTCTTAAGACTACCATGGTATGTCAGCTTGCAGCTTACTAGGCATTGACAGCATACAAGGCTTTGACAGCATACTAGGCTTCATACTTTTGGGAAGTTCACCCTTCTTCCATATAGCCGTAGAGAAATACTTAATTTAAACAATATGATTTCTGATAATTGCTCTGTCAATAATCCCAATAGTCAGCTCTTCACTATAACCAGTTTAGTACAAAATACAAATAGCATTAATTATGATGCACTAAGTGTATTAGCAACTATTAACATGCTCTTTCTTCTCTTGCTTTCTCTCAGGCTCTTATGCTCTTAGCTTTAAATTTCTGCATGATTATGTATAAAGTGCATTTCAAAAATCATATTTTTAGGTTCAAAGTACGAGACAAATAAAGGGTCCTTCATAAAAAAGTATCTGATTTCAATAGGCTTTTGCAAAACTCATACAACACATACAGAACAATTAATTTTATTTGTGAATAGCTTATTTGATGCCATTTTATATCACTTAGTACACTTTACTTGGTTTTGAAAATTATGTTTGATAAATGATGTCCCCCATTGTTAAGACATTCACGAAGTCTTTCCCTGAAGTTGCCCATAGCTCTTCGTGTAACTTCCCTTGGAATGGCTGCCACTTCCTGCCTAATGGCATGTTTTAGTTCTTGCAGATTTCTGGGACGATATTTGTACACTTCAGCCTTTAGGTAGCCCCACAGAAAGACTCGCACTGCTCGCCGGTCCATGGAAATGTTAAGAGAGTTGTTTTCTGGACGTCTTGTGTCTTTTAAGAGGAGACATTCCCTAGCCCCCACGGTCACCCGACTTATCACCTTGCGATTTCTTTCTGTGGGGCTACCTAAAGGCTGAAGTGTACAAATATCGTCCCAGAAATCTGCAAGAACTAAAACATGCCATTAGGCAGGAAGTGGCAGCCATTCCAAGGGAAGTTACACGAAGAGCTATGGGCAACTTCAGGGAAAGACTTCGTGAATGTCTTAACAATGGGGGACATCATTTATCAAACATAATTTTCATAACCAAGTAAAGTGTACTAAGTGATATAAAATGTCATCAAATAAGCTATTCACAAATAAAATTAATTGTTCTGTATGTGTCGTATGAGTTTTGCAAAAGCCTATTGAAATCAGATACTTTTTTTTTGAAGGACCCTGTATCTTGCTTTCAATCACAGAATTTTTCTCTTCAATTTCCAGACGACCTCACATGAGCCGCCAGGTAAGTTCTAATGGCGGCTGTGGAGGTGGTGCTCCTGGTGGGGGTGGAGGTCGTCGGAAAAGATCCCACTCATGCAGCTGGGGAGGTGACCCCAACACTGGGGGCTCTCGTTCCAAGCGCCGGCGCACCCACCACAACATCTCCACCTCCAAGTTCCTGATGGGGGGCAACATCAATGACCCCCTCAACCTGGGAGCTCTTTCACCCAAGTCAGTTTATCTTTTGATGGCAAAAGTTGCTTGTAAAGACAATAATTGGAGGCAATTTCTGTAAAAAAGCATGAATAATCTATAAATTAATAATACAAGATATCGTTGATGGTTACTCAGCTTTGATATGAGATTTGAACTTCAGTTCTGGTTCTAACCTATGAAATGGTTTGTGATGAGAATGGAACCTCGTAAAAGTAAAGAACATAAGGTGCACTTCATTGCTGATGAAAGTATTGATAGATTGAAGCACTGGGGTGCTGAAAATGCCCTTCAAGCAGTTATTTGAGATGAATAATATTGTAAATGAGTTGATTCTCTTTCCCCTTTTTTGGATGTTATTTTTAGGTAACTGTCAATGTACATACTAGTTTATTCATAATTTTAGTTAAAAATATTGTTATGTGCAAATTTTGATATAATTTTATTTTGTTGTGATGAAAGTATTGCCAAGATTGTATTAATAATCCATCATTGCTACTTGATTTCATTTCAGGCGCAATGACCAGCACAGAGGAGTTGCTGTGCCAGTTGTGATCCCTCTTAATATCAATGATCCCCTCAACCTAAACTTTGATGCGCCCTCTGACTCTGAGGAACCCTCACATCCTCCTGCAATCAACTATGTCCCTCCCTCCAAACGTGCTACCCAGCCTGGCACCGACCAGAGTGTCCGTCGCAGGCGCAAGAGCAAACTGAAGGTTAGTGGCGAAATTTCATTTTGTTCTTTGAATCAAAATCATTTTCCTTACAATAGCACATTAGCCTGCTTAAGAAAATGGTGCTAACACCTCAGTGTGTGTGTTACACCTCCAGTCCACAGCCAGGAGTATGGCTGTTTCGGTGAAATTTTTTCATGCTAGCCAGGCGCCATAGACTCTTATTAATTAATTTTGGCTCTGTGTTTTGTTGACAGCGCCGCAGAAGGAGGTTCTCAGAACCTGGCGGCAGCCACATTAAGGGCCCTGACTTGGACCTCGCCAGCTTCCTGCTGTCAGAAGTGGACAACAACAACCACCTATCATCCTCAGCAGATGGCTCTGTCATCCATCACTCTGAGGACAACAACCATGATGGGCCGATGGCCACCGCACAGTTATGCCACGTGACAGATAGGCCTTCGTCAGTGGACAACCCAAATGCCAAGGTAATCAATTGATGTGGTTAATTATAGCCTCTCCTTATGACAGCCTTGTCTTTGTCAGCATTGACCATACATCAGCCTTGCCCATACGTCTGCATTGACCATATGTAAATCTTAACCATATGTCAGCCTTAATCATGTATTATTAACATGTAGTTACCATGTATTATTCACATGTAACTACCATGTATGGGTGACATGTAGTTACTCGGTATCGCGTGAAACTACGTACCATGAAATAATGATGTTTCGATTGCTCTTCATGTTTGTGGCGACTATGGAAGGAGGTGATCAGTCAGTTTTTCTGAGCAATAAGGCCGCAGGTAGTTCCACGATCATCATTGTCTTGCTGACCCATAGTAACCATTTTTGCATTACAACACCCCCTTGATGAGCTAGGTACTCATTTATCAACCAGAATTGGATGAATGGCTGAGTTGGCGCCATGAGCTGAGCTCCCCAAAAGAAGTTATCAAGCGTATAACTCAAATCCACAAGTTACTGGGTGCAAGAGACAGAATCTCTCATCACTGCAGCTCCATTAGTGACGTGTTATCTTGCAGGTTGTGTTTGGTGTGAGGCCCGTGGCATGCAAGTCCAACGGCGGGATCTACGCCGGGAGCGGCCCAAGGATCATGAAGAGCATTAGCACTTCGGCGCTGGAGATGGCCGGCCTGCAGGAGAGCAGCGCCCCTGAGGACGACCTGGTGGACGACGACAGCGAGCTGGACAGGTCGCCCTCGAAGCTCGTAGTGGTGGAGCGCGACTCGCAACTTGAGGAGTCCATCACGGAGGACTCCGACGTGTCATTGGGGCTTGTCAGGTCTGGCCGAGTAGGGGGCTGCAAGCACCATACTTGAAAAAAAAATTACCGATCACACTGTTCAAATTGTGACACTTTTTGCACGTAGCACTGATATGCCCGTTTGCTGAGCCTAACTGTTCGGATGACATGTTATTGAAGTTACTTGTACACGGAGAAAGTTTTAGAAAATAGTATTAGCTGCAAATACTTCCCTTTTCAAATATTGGGCTAATTTTGTCTTCAGTGGAAAGTAGCAAGAATGGGTACTTGTAGTTGAAAAGGTTTGAGCTGTGCCGTGGAAAATGTCGCTTGCTGGTCTGAAACCGCCTATTTTTGGTCATATGTGCTGCACTGTGAGTTCATGAAGTGAAGTCGTTGATGCCTCAAGTTCTCTCTCCATCCTGCCCAATCTCTCACCCACAGTTTATGTCGCACTTTCTGTTTATTGACAACATTTTCAATCTCGGCTCAATTTGCAACAATTTCAATAACTGTTTCACCAAAAGCCTCCTCAAACTCACAATAGTTATCACGATTCATTTTCTTCCTCCAAGCACAGACTTCACTTATAGGCGTCTAACGACGCACAGACTGCTGCAGACGAGAAGATACTGTTTAGGTAATACTTTCCTCTTGTATAAGCTCTAAGCCGGTAAAATTAAAAGGGAAGGTATTTGCTACCAATACTTTTAGATAAAACTTCCCCGGCAAGTAACACCTTAAGGCATGCTTGCCTTCTCAAAGTTGTTATAATATATACATTCCTGTGGTGGACAAGACTTGGGAGAAGTGCAATGTATACTATAACTATTACACATAGTCTTCAATAGAAGTTCGAGCAAGTATGTATCTCATAGGCATTATTGTTTAGCATTCTATTAGTGAAGCAAGCTGGCTATGAAACTTGTGAGGTGAAATAGGATTATTCAAACTCAGCACAGCAATCTTTCACTAATATAGCGACAGCTTGCTCTTTAAATACAGCTTGCACTAATGTTTTCAAAGTTTTTAGAAACTGTTCACATGGTGATGAGGTCAGCAATTTTTCACACTGTGACTTGAATCCTAACCAGACCAAAATTTCTGATTTATTTGCTCCGTGAATGAGAGTAAGCGTCATGATTTAAATATTTTTGTTATAAGTCCACAATGTACATGTGTACCTGTCCAACCTCTTATTTCCAGATCTACACCAGTGCCTCCCAGCTCCTTGAAAATTTCGAGTGCAGCCTCAGTTTCCCCTAACAAGCTCTGCAGCCCCAGCACCCCAGTACGGAGTCCCTTATCTCTGGGCCCAGGGTCGGGGCCCTCGTCAAGTAAAATAAAACGACTGAGCTGGGATGCTTCTACACCTGGACCATCGGGCCTCAAGGTCTTCAGTCCTGTATTGGGCAACAAGGCCAGCCTCCTCAAGGTTTCATTTGACACTCCAGAGACCAACAGCAGCTGCAACAAAGAAGAGGACAACAAGGGCCATTCTTCTCGCACCAATGCGAACAAAAACACGCAGCATGATACAAAATCAAAAGAGCAAGAGAAACTAAGCTTACTGCCAGCTGATGTAGAAAACAAGAATAACATGGGCTGCAAGAAGACCTTCCAATACGGCAATTACCATCAATATTATGGTTACCGCAACCCTCAGCACAACACTGACCCTAGACTGGCCTTTCTGAATCCACGTTGGTTTGACGGTCGTGACGTCTTGGATGTCGGCTGCAACATCGGCCACGTAACACTCACGGTGGCTCGAGATTTCAATCCGCGCTTTGTTACCGGCATCGACATAGACAAGAAACTCATCAACATCGCCAACAAGAACGTCCGCCATTACCTGACGAAGGGCAAAGGACTTCAAGGTTTCCCCAAGGGCTTTGAGAGGGTTTATGGGGGCTTGCCGTGCCAGGAAGAGCTCGAGCAGCAGGAAACTGCCAACAAAATGGGACCTGAGGAGAGGGAGGAATTCCAGCAGCGGCTGCGTAAAAGGAAGAGGCTCTTCCCCCACAATGTTACTTTCCGTAAGGTGGGTCATTTCACTCAACAATAGTTGATGCTGTAATCTATATATGGCTTTGGTAAATATTTAATACCTAGGCACTTATATGGTGAGCAAAAATTTATAGCCCTAGAAATGATTGATCTCATCAGATGTTTGCTTCTCAATGTGTTTCAGTCTGCAGCAATCGAATTAAATCTTGATCAGGTGAACGGAAAAGGTCTTCGCTATTATTGACGTACTGCAGTGTGTTATTTTGTTCTGGCAACTAATGAACATAACTTAGCATCGACTTGTATAGATATACTTAGCTTTATATTTAATTATTGAATAATTTTGAAACCATGCATGTTATTAATTTTACTTGGGCAGGCTAACTACGTGCCAGAGACTGAGGAGCTGCTAGAGATGGTGCGTCCTCAGTTCGACGTGATCCTCTGTCTGTCGGTGAGCAAGTGGGTGCATCTCAACTGGGGGGATGAAGGCCTCAAACGCTTCTTCAGGAGAGCCTACCTCAACCTTCGACCAGGGGGGCGTCTGGTACTCGAGCCACAACCCTGGGCGTCCTATGCCAAAAGAAAGAAGCTCACCCCACAGATATTTGAGAACTACAAGAACATTAAGCTCATGCCGGACATGTTCGAAGAATACTTGGTGCGAGTCGTTGGATTCTCGGATTGCCATACTCTAGCCATCCCCACTCATTCTTCCAAAGGCTTTCAGAGGCCTATACAGGTATACACAAAAGACGGCGGCCCAAGTACCGAGCTGGCGGACCCTGAGTATGTCAGTGCTTTGCGAGTGCCGCAGAGCAACACGACCGCTCGCGATTGCAGTCATGATGGCACTGAGGGAGCGAGGGAAGTGCACTACCCGCAGCAACGGAACTACCCCACTCGCTGCCTGGGATTCCGTGAACGTTTCCAGTTTACGTCGCCTTACCCATCCCCCTTCCCATCTCCTCATCCTGGACCATCTCCTAATAACTTCGTTAGTGGCAGTGAGCAGGTTTCCCCAGAATATTCCCCTAGGTCCCCTATTTACCCCCACGCTACAAGCTCCCCGAGACTCGCCCCTACTTCTCCCTCGTACATCTCGCCCTCATATGCCCCTTCGCCTCCCAGGTATTGCCCCGTCTCCCCCACTTACCAGCCCACGCCACCCTCTTATTCCCCTGCATCCCCAGCAGCCCTATCCCCGGTGTACTACCCAACTTCTTCACCATACGCCCCTTCTTCCCCATCTCACGCACCGCCGTCCCCTTCATACAAAACCCCATCAGACCACCAGTCACCCAAGTCATATCATGGTTCCCCTCAGAATTCCCCGACTTGGCCACACTATCCATATGCCTCCCCGTCCTCCGAGTACGACCTCAGGGGCTCGAACATGGATGGAGGGGCACAGGGCTCGAGCTCGGCGGATGGGTCCTCCTGGTCCAAGTTCTACAAGAAGACCGTCGGGGAAGAAGCTGGAGGATCTTCCTCAGTAACCCCGCGGTTCACGACCACCTACCAACCCTCATGGGTGCTATCTCCTGGACAGGCCTCTAACCCCTCTCCCAGACCCTCAGGTCTGTCCCCTTCTTCTGCGTCCCCCCAGAATGACTCCCCCAATACATTTGCCTCCCCTTACCCTTATGCTTCCCCTCATCCGTCAGCCTCGCCACGGCCCACTGCGTCCCCTCATTCATTCCCCTCGCCCGTTCCCTCTGCGTCTCAACTCTCCGTCTTCCCTCACGCCTCCCCACACCTTTATTCCTTCCCTGCAACCCTTCCCTCAGCATCTCACAACCCCATGGACAGCCCCAACGCTGCTGCGTCCCCTAACGCATCCCCTTATCCTGCCTCTGCGTCCCCTTCTTATTCCCCCAATCCTGCACTGTCACCCAACCAAGGCGCGTCTCCCAATCCCGCATCTTCCCCCTATCCCTCCTCCTCCCCAAACACATTTGCTTCTCCGAACCCAGTGGCTTCTCCATGCCCCGCCGCCTCCCCTTCAGGCTCTTCCCCAGCGTCTGCTTCTCCGAACCCTTCCTCTCAGCAACCTTTCGTCTCCCCTAACCCTTCCTACTCCCCAAACCTCTCCCCTCATCCGTCTGTCTCCCCCAATGTCTCGTCTTACCACCATTGCTTCGCCTCTCCCCATCCATCCGCCTCGCCGCGGCCTCACGCTTCCTCGCGTTCTGGGGCTCAGAACGCCAAGCCTTCTGCTTCCCCTCAGTCGTCGGCATCCCCTCGTCCTGCCGCCTCCCCTTATCCTTCCACGTCCACTTCCCCCCATCAGTCTAACCTCTATTGCTTGGCGCCTTTCTCTGCTTCTCCTCACCCATCATCCATTTCCCCGCACCCATCATCCAATTCCCCGCACCCATCATCCAATTCCCCACACCCATCATCCCTTTCCCCTCACCCATCATCCAATTCCCCACACCCGTCATCCATTTCCCCGCACCCGGCATCCAATTCCCCTCACCCATCATCCCTTTCCCCCCATCCATCATCCAATTCTCCACACCCGTCATCTAATTCCCCGCACCCGGCATCTAATTCTCCTCACCCATCATCCAATTCCCCACACCCTTCATCCAATCTACTACACCCATCATCTTACTCTCCCCTTCCATCATCCTCTCCATGTGCAAATTTGTCCCCTGGGGGAAGTCACAATCTTTCCGCCTTGACTCCGCCCAGTATTGAGGTCCCACATTTATATTCCAGTGCCTTGGAAACTTCTGCTCTCCCTATTGCTGGCTCCCCCATGAGCTTACATGCCTCTGAGTCACCATTCTTCAGGACCGCTTGTGCTGGGGGTGAGGAGAGTCCTAAGGCAGGCACTGAAGAAGGCAATTTGGAAGAGGGATTGATTGAGGCTGCAGAGATTGAAGCTGGGAATGATGATGAAGATCTTGCTGACGATATTAATGGCGGAGCGGAATTCATAGAGGAAATAAATGAAGACCAGGAACTCGTGGTGGAAAAAAAGGACGAGGAGGAACCTCTTAAGGAAGGAAACGATGGGGAAGAACTCCTAGATAGGAGTTATGGGGAGGAACTCCCTGCTGAGAGAAATAAAGAACCTCTAAATGAAAGGAATGAAGAGGAGGAACTTTTGGGTGACAGGAGTGATGGGTTGGAACTCAATGATGAAAGAGATGAGGAATTCCTAGATGGAAGGAATGAGGCGCCTCTGGATGAGAGGAGTGATGGTGAGGAACTCCTAGATGTAAGGAATATGGAGCCCTTGGAAGAAAGGAGTGACGGTGAATTACTCTTAGGTGAAGGGAATGAGGAGCCCCTGAATGAAAGAAGTGACGGTAAAAAAATCTTAGATGGAAGGAACGAGGATATGCTACGCCACGCTGGCAATGGAGTCTGGACGAGAGAAGATCTTGGTGAAGTTGACGGCGGATCTGGTGGACCCGTTTTAAGTAATGAAATTGTTGAAGAACACTCGCTTGTTGACGGACCTTGCATAACCGAGCGAAGAAGATCTGTTTATGATATGAGCAGAGTTGAAGGGAGACAGGTCGATAATGATCCTGTTGTTGAATTTGTTCATGAAAATTCCTCAGCTATTGATGACTTCGCAAGAGTTATCGGTCGGCCAGCCATTTTGGACCGGCCAGAAGTCGATTCAGCGGAATCTGCTTCAGCAGAACCGGATGCTGCTGGGACGGAACCGGTTGTTGCATCAGCAAAACTGGATCAGGCTTCAACGGAATCGAATGTTGCGACTGGAGTTTGAAACGGTGACCAGGACCTCACCGCTTTGAAGGAACTGCTGAGAACGTGCCAACAACGAGAACAACTTCAAGTCTTGTGATGTGTACATAGTTAATTCATAATGTATTATTAGTTATTGCTTAGCTCCTGCCAACTTATAGCTTGTGCAGGTCGGAGAGGAATGCTTTCACGCCACGTCCCATAGGCTGGCGTCTGAGGAATTAAGGTGCAGGTGATCACGTTTGTTGATATGATGAATGAAGCAAGAAGGTACGTGATGAGAAACTGTAAAATTCGCCATAATGTGACACAAGTTGCCTAGCTTGCCGCTATTGTCTTTTCCGTTTATATCTTTATGTGTTCAAAGGCATTCTTCGCATTTTATTTTTTCTATCTGGATGGAATTCATTTGTCGCTCGAGCTAGAGTGTTCGAGGTTTTCACCTTCCTTCCTCCCCATGTTTCAAATAATTTTCGACATGGAGTGGATTTCCTTAATTTTTGGCGCTCTGCCGCTTCTTTTCGCCACCATGACATTTTTCAATCGCAGAATTCTTAGTAATTTCATTTTTCATAGCTAGTTGTTATCCTACAAATAGTAGACACACAACGGGCATTTTCTATCAACCTGCGCAATTGTTTTAAATTTCTTCGTACACGTTAATTATTGCACTTCAATTTCATTTATCGTGTTTCATCATTCTGCGTTCGACCGCATTGTTAAAAACTAAGGTGAAGCATGACACAGACACGCCATGGGTATGAGCTTAGAGAACGCGATGCTGACACGTTTTGTACCGGTGCAGCTCATTAACTGAACCTACTGCTCAACTTGTAGGCGTACATTTTCCTATGATAACAATGTCAGTTTGCTTGTTTTTCTTGGTGTTCTACAGAACATTTTTCCTTGTCTTCCTTTGTTTGTCTGCTAAAACTTAGTCTCGTTAAATGAAGCCTTCATCAACGTCGCAAGTGGATCGTTTTCTTTGAATTGAGTTGCGTTGGATAATTAACTGTTCAATAAAAATAATATCGGCTTTGCGTGTCTCATCCTGAGAATAGGTCGATCCTGAAAAAGATATCGCCCCACGTGGCTGAGGCGCGACGCAAGCTTCGCTCTGCATCAGCAACGCAGCGTTAAGTCCCGTTATATTCACACCCGCGAAATAAGGAATATCACAGGCTCGCTGTAACCATGACAAAAGAATACTTATTATCTTGCAGGACTTTAATAGAAAAAGACCAGGCATGAAAGTACTCAACTGTGAAAGTGCATCCGTTTCTGCAAGCTCCCCTCATATCCCCTCGGGGATTCATATGTACCAGTAATATACCGGATGATTTAGGTTGAATGAAATACGGCTCAATAATAAATTACTGTATATAGTAGGATAACATATGCAACTCGCACATCCACACGAGTCGATCTTGTCTATTTACAGAGCAGCGATGCTGCAGGAGTGGCTTCGTCATCTGAGCCTCGCTTGAGCAAGGAAACGTTCACACGAGTTATTTTTTACCAGCAGCGCGTGTTCAGGTTGTGGCTGTTCCGTTTAGATTGTAAAATTTTATTGACGGCCCCTCAAGCGCAAATTGCACTAATGTGTAACTTTGCAAAGAATGTTGTGATGACACGTGACTGTAATGAATACTACATCGAAATTTTAGTAGCAAGTATTTAGAAGGAATCGCTGTAGGGCACAGCGTTGACATTACCCAACGCTGCCACGGTCAGCTTCCCACTGAACGCCTTTGCGATCGCCTGCACAATTCAAGATAAATTTAATGCCGGCAAATCAGCAGAGATTATATAAAAAAATTGCTATATTTTCAAGATTTATGCTGGATAAGCGATTATGAGAAAGCATAAACTCATCGCTGTGACACGTCGATAGATGTACATCGCACCTACCCTTGCATCAGAATGGAACAAGGGTAGGAGGGTATTCCATTAGAGGGAGACCAGAATTACGCCTAGGGAGAAAAACGTGAGAATATGAAGGGGTGGAAGAGGGAGGAGAATTGTGAGCTATGAGAAGGGATTCAAGGATGTGGGTGGTGAGGGATAAGAGGTGTGTGGATGAGTGATGGATCAGGAGACATGTAGATGATGAAGTCAAAGTATGGGAGGGGTGAGGTGGTGATGGAGGGCTTACCTTAGCGACAGCAGCGTTGCTGACGGCATCGACAGCCCTGGTGGTGTCAGCAGCGCTGACGCTGGCGCCGGTGAGGAGAAGCTGACGCCCCAACCCCTGCACCTCCCCACACCCCGAGCCTGCAAAACGTCATGTATTATACACTAACTGCAACACATCACGTATTACACTCCCTGTTTAGTTATTATTATTGATTAGCATGTACAAGACATGAACTTCAAACGCACCGTATTAGCGTCAAAATTATTACTCATTCATAGTAAACGTAAATATAATGATAAGCAAAACAAAAGCGAATGAATTACTTAATTTCGGATAACTAGCCACTCTGTCAAATGGCGAGCAATTTGAGGCGCGTTATTGCTTTTTCGGTTCAAAACTAGGAATTAGGTTTGGAAAATTTCATTTTTGCGTAACATTATATTTTTTAGAACTTAATTAGTAAAAAACTTGAACAACAAATAAATGCGAGGAAAAGATGTGCAAAAATATGAACGAATAAATCGATGTGAGTACGGGATAATGATAGCATTGAAAATACTATGATAAATAGCATGTAAACCTTGGATAAAATATAGTTATTATAAATTATGGGAACAATTTAATGAAGTTTTACTTGTTTGATTAAAATTTCGAAATGAATACTTTATACACCAATGGAAAGAGAAGGATTAAAATATTTATTCAACTTGAATTGGGAATCTTGATGTCCGAAACTTTTTGAATCAGTACTTCCTGAGCGTTGGGTAGGACGCATAGGAAATGAAGATCAGGCTCTACACTGTTTACGTCCCGCCTCTACCAGCAACTCTGTTTACGTCCCGCCTCTACCAGCAACTCTGTTTACGTCCCGCCTCCCCAGCAACTCAGGTTGATCTGAAGAACCGTATCACTGCTACGGTGCACTCAGTAACAGAAGATATGCTTTCTCGTGTGGGACGAGTTTGGCTACCGTTTATATATTTGCCGTTCAGAACAAAGGGGACATATTCAATATTTATATATATTAAAAAAAAACTCTGAATCATTCTCTTTCCGTGGAGGTATGAATTATTCATTTTTGAATTTATACGTGAATAAAAACGAATTTGATAAATTGGGTCCATCATTTAGAACAGTGGTTCCCAAACTTTTTCAGGCTGGCGCCCCCCTTGGCTCCCCAGTGAATCTCTAGCACCCCCCTGCTGAGACACATATAAAAACAAATGCCTCTTTCTTGATATTTAGTATGCTGCAATTTTGAAAGAAAGGTTAAACACAGATCTTTCCAGAGGCCCCTACAGATCTTTCCACCGCCCCCAGGGGGGCGATATCGCCCACTTTGGGAACCACTGATTTAGAAGAATCCCGTATGCATGAGCTGTGACGTTATATACCTAAAAAAATGAACTGGTGATAATTATGAACAATTGCATAAAAGTTCCTTAAAATAAGTTCATGTGATAAATATAAAATAGCAACGATTTGAACCGGCAAAACGCATGCCAAAAATATACTTACCAATGCGGGCCATCTTCAGAGGATCGCAAGGCACACTGAATCAGTCTTGTAAAATAAATGACACTTACAGCTATAGATCAATTAACACGAGACGATGTTAATGGCAGGCTAGTGGTAATTATACAATATTGTATCAAGTTTTGTGCTCTCACTCACTGGCATTGAGAATGGCGTTCTTGACCCTCGCCTTGGCACCCGCCACATCCTTGTCAGATCTCTGTTCACGTCCCGCCTCTACCAGCAACTCTGGTTGATCTGAAGAACCGTATCACTGCTACGGTGCACTTAGTAACAGTAAGATATGCTTTCTCATGTGGGACGAGTTTGGCTACCGTTGAGATGTTTGCCGTGCAGCACAAGAGGGACATGTTCAATATTTATAAATATGCAAAGAAAAAAACTTTGAATCTTTCTCTTTCCGTGGAGGTATGAATTATTTATTTTGAATTTATATGTGAATAAATACGAATTTGATAAATTGGGTCCATCATTTAGAATAACCCCGTATGCATGATCTGTGACGTTATATACCTATAAATAATGTACTGGTGATAATTATGAACAATTGAATAAAAGTTCCAAATAATAAGCTCATGTGATATATAAAATAGCGACGATTTGGACCGACAAACGGCATGCAAAAAATATGCCAACAATTGCTGGCCATCTTCAGAGGCTCGCAAGGCACACAGAATGAGTCTTGTAAATTAAATGACACTTACAGATCAATTAACATGAGACGATGTTAATGGTAGACTAGTGGTAGGTATACAATATTGTATCAAGTTTTGTGCTGTCACTCACTGGCATTGAGAATGGCGTTCTTGNCGGGGATCTGGGTTATACGATTGGTGCTAGGTAGCTAACCTTACTTAGGTGAGCATTACTCCAAGTGTCTATTATCACTCACACGGCATCCCTGTTGCTAGCAATGCTGTAGACGGCCACCTCGCGATCGGTGAGGACATTCAAGTGCGCCCCAATCTGCTGCTGCTGTCTCTTATACACATCTAGATGTGTATAAGAGACAGCTTTACCCCCACCCACAGACCCAGCCAACTTCATCAAACATATGAACACATATCTAACCCGGAACGCAACTAATTTACTTGCCTTCAACCTATTTTCAATTTACAGTGAAAGATTCCAAGCAACAACATGTATATTAACGTTTATATATTATATAAACGAGCCAAGTACTTTACCGTAAGCCGTGGGTATTAACGTCTACTCGCATTCCACGCAGTCCATCACAACAAATTACTTGCTAAAATAAGCATGCCACCTTGGGAGCATCAGCAGCTGAAGCAACAATGCTGAAGCCAAGAAGTCCGGCATCAGAGAAGTTGAGGCTCTGGCCCTGAAGTTGGACATGAGCTTCAGACTTGATGGCCCTCAGGAGAGCGGAGGTGGCGTTGCCGCCATATTTGACGGCCTTGGCACCGCCCAACACCTCCGCCGCAACTGCCGTCGCTAAGCTGTCTGACGAGCCCAGTCTGCAAGACATTTATTCTTTTAACTTGTAAACTCATTATTTCGTCAATCTAAGTCAAGCCTATTTCTGTTGATTAGTTTGCTACTATATCATCCACTTGCTACCCAAATATTTAAATAAATAAAAGGCGATTATAAAACGTTTGGGAGACCAGCTCCATCATTATTCCAAAAAATTCTATCAGTTGTTGTCGATATGTTAGGAATCAACTCTTCTTAAACATCACCAAGAATATATCACCCCAGGATCTGGTGCTAGGCTTGGTATTTTTAAATGATTTACAGGAATTGATATTGATTACTATCATTTTTATGAATTATTTGCAATTAGCTACAGGATTTCACAATTTTGATTACAGCTAAAATGGTTAAGATAGTGTATGGGTTAATGCTTTTATTGATAACGCGTTTCTGATTTAATAAGAATAAAGAAAATATTTATCCCACTATAGATCAGGATATACTTGGACAATAATAATTTTTTAGCCGCTCGAATTGCAGCAATTTCAATTCAACAGCAATCAACAAAAAGTTTTAAACAAGGCAATAATTAGTGAAAATTTAAGGAGAAGAAGTGAAAATGTGTTTAAGGAGAAGAAGTGTCAAAGTGCAAGCGAGACCAATGGCTGACAGGAAAATTTTGTAGGCCGAAGCTTGTTCACAAATTTCCTAGGAAGCTTCAGCATATACCTACTCAACCCAGTCTACTAAACCATTAAATCTTAATGAATTCTTTAATGTTAAAAATAGTGTAAAAGTTTGTTTGTATGTGTTCTTAAAGCCAGGCACCACAAATATGCAGGGGCTATTGGGGCGCATATCAATGATACTTATCGTGTCAGGTTATTCTATTAACTTTAACCAGAAATTTTGTTCAGAGTGGGAGAATGAGGAGGGATTGGAGGGAAGGAATGAGAAGAGTGCATCAAAAATGGAAACTTCATTTTGAAAGGTCTAGCTGGTATTCAATTTAAATCTAATTAAGATACAAATAACGAGTTTTGCGAGTTTTAATGGGTCTTTCTCTATGCAGCATACATTGATTTACAGTTCTCAACAGGTTTTGGGAGAGTGGGATTCTAAATTGCAGAGAACATTGATCCTGGGCAAGACCTGACCAACCTGCTAGCAAATAGTATAGTAACTGTATTTGCATTAGACATACAGAGCTTGCTGGAAACCCAGGTTATCAATTCTAAACTCATAACTAATTATTACGAAAATATCGCAATTTACTACAGATTACAGTTGCAAAACATTATACATGATCCATGCCAAAGAAAGAACTAACTTGGCTCCTTCCCCGGCAACAGAAACGTAAGCCATCTTGCCGCCAGTCTCCTCTCTCAAGTCGCCACCGAAATATTTGGTGGGGGCGCTTGAGGGGACAGCGCCTCCTGCAACCCCCAGGGCCTCAGCCCCAGCTACCAGCACCTCATGGTCCACTCCAGTCCCCACCACCACCAGCCCCCCAGCACCGTGGGTGGCCGACACGAATGCGTTCAACTGCCATAAAATACGCCTTTGTCATGAACCATTGGGGGGTTAGGAGCACTCGGGCTCAAGTTATCAAATTCATTTTTGCTTATATTCCTTTAATTTATACAAGCAATTATAAAGATGTCTCTCTCTATTATACCAGTCATCTATTAATGAACAGTTTTCATTAATTCACCAAAATCACAGAGATGAATGAAAATTCTTCCATTGAATATCAACGCTACACAATTCTGGAAATATCAGTGTCAAAGTGACCAATTAATTGATTTATAAAATACAAATTTTTTATGAATGCCTACACTTAGTCTTAAAAGTTACTTCCACTACCCGCGCCAAAACTTCTGGTTTATTCTTTAAAACATTTTGCAACGTCAAAAATGGCTGAAGAACACTATGATTATAGACTAATAATAATGGACGATGATATGAACAGCTTTTTGTTCATCACAAAACAAAACTGGGATGAATAAAATAGAAACATTTTAATTAATTCTCATTCTCGATAATTGATTACGCAAGATACCTCCAGAACCTCTCAAGCCCCAGCTTTACCTGCTCAGCAGTGAGCTTGCCCACGTTGTAGGAGGGCACATAGATGGAGTTGCCTAGAGGCTGCGCCCTGAAGGCAGCCTTGCCAAGCAGGTCCTCAAGGCGTTGTTGAGGGGTGAGTTCGAGGGTGGCCTTCAGCCTCGCCGTCAAGTACTTGTTAGGGACCTCGTAGTAGCGGTAGCTGTTGTTGCTGGTGAGTGACGCCAGCAGACTCAACGTCTCACCTCTGTGTTCATATTTCAATTTAAGTATTACATATATATGCTCTATTTCAAAATATGAAAATTACAATTTTCAGAACAATAGAATGAGGACAGCAGGTTGTTGGAGGCTTATGAGAATTAAACTTTTAGTAATCGGATTACAATAACCTTCTGGCAGTTCCCCATCCTATATGGCACAGTTGTTATAAGTTTCCTTAAAAAATTTGAATTTATGGAGCCATTTAGGTATTATGGGAATAATGTACATGCGCATAAATAACTTTACTTATGATCATATTTTAAAATAATAACAATATAAAGTTATACATTATACTACCTGTACTATAATAATACTGAACAATAATGTCAAGATAAAGTTATACATCTACTAAAGTTATACATAAAACTACTGTAATAGTAATAATAATAATGAACTTAAGAATAGAACAATGAAATCTATAGCAATCCACACCATGTATTATCTAATCAAAACTAAACCTCAACAAGTATTTGAAACTTCGGGGATCTGAGTTATACGATTGGTGCTAGGTAGCTAACCTTACTTAGGTGAGCATTACTCCAAGTGTCTATTATCACTCACACGGCATCCCTGTTGCTAGCAATGCTGTAGACGGCCACCTCGCGATCGGTGAGGACATTCAAGTGCGCCCCAATCTGCTGCTGTACGCGCTTCATGTTGAAGCCTGTGCGCTGCTCTGAGCTGAGCCCTCCCGTGGCACACAGCCGCAGCATGTGGCTTATGCCGGGCACCGTGTCATAGCGGGAACCTCCCCTGAAGCAGATATTGTCAGACAATAATTTTAGAACAAAACCATTTGGACTAAATATCTCGTACCTTTACATCAGCTGCTTCTGAGACAAGAAAGCAATTTAGAGTATCAATATATTCTGAACATGAAGAATGAGGCTGTTAATTATGTTATTATAGTGAGGTCTCTCAATAGACGTATTGTAATTTACTTTATGGGAATCATTGGGACTAGAGGATTCAATATAAAAAGGTCATTCAAATTTGTGAGTTGAAAATCAAGGTCTGTAACAGTATACCAAGCAAAATTAAAATAAGTAATCTTAAAATACCAAGAGTGTAAATTTGGCCTCTAATGGAATGTTTCAGAGCAGCAAGAACCTTGATGCATAACAAAGAACATGAAAATTATAAATAATTCTATTTACAGCAAGCAGTTTTACCAATGGCTTTCAAACTTTAAAAGCCATGTAGATTTTCTGCTAAACAGTCAATATTTATTTGCTAAATTAGTCTCGACTTCAATGAACATGATCTTTAAATAGGTAATTACTGATATAATACAGTAAACTTTATTTGGAAAATATTGCTAAGAAGAGTCTGAATCCAGCATGTAATAGACTAAACAAACCTGAGGAAGACGGCTACTCTAGCAACAGGAGAGTTGTTCTCAAGTGAGGCAACGACGGCACCTGACCGCAAGGTTGACACCTGCAGGGCAGCCCCTGAGCTTGCAGGAACAGCTTTTGGAGCCGCTTGGGCACTGTAGCTCCTCTGAAAATGCACAGCAAAACTTAGAACTGATATTACTGAAAAATAGCACATTGCTAAACCTTGTCTAGAGATTACAAAATCTGAGAAGTAGAATTTTTGCATTTTTGTTTCAAAATGTAGTAGGCAAATGTGGTCAATATTGACCTCTGCACTCACACAAATGAAAAAGCCATATTGTCCAAATACACACATACCATCAACCAAGGTAATAAGATAGTTTTGAGCATTTTTTTTTGTTAACAACTTCTTACCATGAAACATTTCATGAACAAGTTTTGGCTCATTTTAAAGGCCTTTGCAAAGAGTATTGTATGGCATCTTCAAAGAATTCCATATGCTATTTGTAAGGTGTCTGATGCAAAATAAAAACGTCCCTAATTACCCTTGGGAACATTTATTAAAGACACTTGAAAAAAATTAATTTTAAAACATTTGAAGCATGAAGAGTGTACTCATCCATTACTAGCAGTACTCCAAAATCCAACTCTTTCTTTGTAAATGATGTAGATGTAAAATAAATAATACTTTGTGATTTTACTTGTTTTCCTTTATTGACCTGATATTACTGTATCCATGGACATGCTATTGAGCATTGACAACAACCTTGTCCAAGTGCTGCATGCTTCATTTCAGTAGCCATGTAGCATTTATTCTGTAACTAGGCTTACTGGAGGGCTTGTAATTTTTCACCATTTTAATTGGGTCAAGTGAATTCACTAGGTATAACAAAAACAGATTATAAAAACACATACCTGAAACAGAAATAAATATTTTGGTTACAACTATCATATTTTTTGGAGAAATAAATTATAGTTTAGGTTAGTTGCTTTTCATTCTATGTTGCCCAGTGCACAATTCTTTCTATGACCTTAGTTCCTTAGTATTTGTTTAGGACATAGCAGTCCCAGGCCACGATGGGTCGCCGCCTCTGATTGTCATTCATCCGCCCTCATTTGGGCCACCTGATGCCTGATGCTGTTGCTTGCTTCTCGCCGCTGGTAGCGTTGCAGGGGTGGTCAATCTGGGATTGTGCCCAGGAACATGTCCAGTTGTCTCTTGAAGGTCTTCAGGGTGAACTTCCCCTCTCTTAGATCCCTTGGTAGGGCATAACATTCTTTGCAGAATTTTGTGATGACTGATGATGCATTAATTTTTTGTGAAGTGAATTTTTTTTCACCAAGTGAGATAAATGTAATCAAAAATTTTTGTCAATTCATTTTTTCATTAACTGGAGCCTTTGATAACCAAGGTTCTACTATAAATGCATTTTTAGGGGTGTCCCTTATTAACCTGTCTTGCAGAAATGGCTGTTATTTATTTGTGGAATGAGATAAACAAATTCCATCAATCATATTGTCAAGCCAACATCTGTGTGCAACTTATATGCACAGAAAATTTTTTAATACAGCAAATATTTTTTGCTACAGCCCTTAGCAGAGGTAATTTTCCAAAGTCTCACTTTTCACACTTTTTTTCAGGGATATTTTCAAAGGTAGTAAATGTATGATTTCTTAATTTGCTTTATGCTACAAAGATAGTAAAAATGTTGAACTTTACACCACAATTTTTAGTTTTGCAATATTTTTATTAGTTTTGCTGCTTCAACATTTCTACTAAATGTGGGACGACAGTCCCGATTTACCCTGTCCATCCTCACTGCAGTGAGTACCAAGTTATATTTTTTTCTCTTGACAGTATACCGTCAAACGGGGTAAAAAGAGACGGGCAGGGTAATAAGGGACAGTCCTCCGACATTTTGTAGAAATGTTGTAGCAGCTAAACTAAATAAAATATTGCAAAATTAAATATAGTGGCGTAAAGTTCAACGTTTTTACTATCTACGCAGCATACAGCAAGTTGAGAAATCATACATTTATTACCTTTAAAAAATCCCTGAAAAAAAGTGCAAAAAGTGAGATTTTGGAAAAGTACCTCTGCTAAGGTCAGTAGCAGAAAAAATATTTGCCATATTGGAAAATTTTACTTACATAAAAGTTGCACTTTTGACTCCATGCGATTTCTTTTTATGGGGATATTTGAAATTTCTGGTTTATGTCGATCGACCACGGACCATAGCACACCTCAGGAACAACATTCGCGACGTCATTGCCAAAATACCGATTGATATGCTGCATGGAGTGGAAACCATTAGGTATAAAAAAACGACTTCATTAGTTTATGCGCAATGGAGGCCGTCATTTATGAGATTTAATTTTCAAAACTGTAGCTATGAAAAAAAATTTGGGATACTGTTTTCTCGAATAAAAAAAATTTTAAAACGATAACTGAAGTACTTTTGTTTTTATTGACCTTTCAAATAAGTAAGTTTCTGTGGCGCACCCTGTAGGTAATCATACTGAATGTCCTGTATCAGTGTACGATTGTAGCTTTGTAGGTTAGGTATGTGTTGTGTCCAAGTCCATAGACATCTATTATACTATAGTACGGTACTCCACATCTAATTAATTTTCAAGAATATCATGATTCACTAGGGACTGAGTAGGGAGGTAAATTTTTCATAGGCTAACAAAAATATATTTTCTCAAAATAAAAGCTGCAAAAAGTTTAATTCTGACAATATTAATAATAAACGGCTGAGAGTGAGAGCTAGCCTATATGGTGCTACTGCTTCTGGCAGTGGCAAAGTCTTTCAGTTGTTAGTAAGTAAAAATTTAAACGGCGATAAATATTTCAGAACAAAAATATACAATAGTAAATACTCACAGCAACAGTTCTCAGGGCAGATGAACCCGAAATTTTTGTTGCCATCATCGTTTGCTAAAACGTGAACCCTTCTGAAATTCGGGTAGTTTTTGACGGTAGAACAACAAGTACCGAGGGCTCCGGCCAAGTTTCCAAATGAAGGGAAGTCCACTATGAATGCATGTCGAATCGCTATGAAACACATCTCAATATTAGTTGGAGGATAATATTATCTAAATAAATATAAAAAGTAATCTATTCAAACTTCAGAGCTTCCTAATGAAATTTTTTAGACAAATTATTGCTACTGCGGTAAGTCGATGAGTTATTTCTCTGTCAATTGTCATCTATCTACTCTGCCCCTCAGGTATTACCGACATTTCTCCGGATTCTGTGCAATTAACTGTCAGCAATGAGCAATTGTGTTCATTGGAAATGAAAGTTTAACTCCTATCCAAACATAAAGTAAAATCGGAGCAGTGAGTTGCGTGTATGTTTTTTCGTGTATGTTGATTCGTTGCGAGTATGAACGCATTCAAGAACAGACTAGATAAAGCTATTTGAAAATACATGTTCAATCTTGAAATGCCTAGCACCATATCGAACCCGATGGAAGTCTAGTAGCTATTTCAAACTGTCGTCAGTCTTGGAAAGATTTCTGCCAAATGACACGATTTTATAACTTTTGTGAACAACAGAACAAGTCACGAAAAGTTCAAGAATCGGCGACAGGCCACATCAGGCCCCTCTTTAGCGCCGACATCACTATGTTATGTTATGTATATGTGACCGCAACAAGCTGTAAATGTTTTGCAATGTTAAGAATTGCCACCGGGGCTGCAGCCTAATAAGCTCTGAAACCACTATATTATGACCTGTGTGATGTATTAATTGTTCTATCACGGCATTAAATGCGAGCACAAAATTGTAAAATCGATCCAACGATGGCAAAATCTAAAAAATTATACCGACCTAAAAATCGCTGTTCGTGATAATCACCGTTAAGAAATAAATGAGCAAAGTTTCATCGAACTGCGCTCATTTGTTTAGGAAAAAATTTAGACTCGTTGCGTATAGGTAAATACATAGAGACCGGAAAATTTTCCAGACATGAAGGAGAGGTTGTTTTTTTCAACACATCTGAATTGACTTAGCAAAGCAAGTACTTGGCTCGCTACGATTAGGCACGACTATACAAGAATCATGATGCGTTTTGTTTTGTAAGAACATCGTGCTTCTGGAATTTGAAAAATTTTAAATATCAACCAACGCAGAAGTTAAGATAGTAATGCAGAGATACTGCAACGGGTAATAAAAATATGCGAACGATTGAGGACTGAGTCCGAAGTGAAATAAATATGTATTGTAGTCTTTGATATCAAGGGGCGCAATGGTAAAGCCCGCAATGATGGCAAATGTATGAAACTGAAAGTGCAGCAAAATCTGTCGTCGTGAAACAAAATATTTTAAGAACGTGTAGACTCTCAAACCATGGGCAACTTTACAAGGAACAAAATGTCAGTGAGGATCCTTGCCTGGCTCATGACTCTAAGGAAATTAGGAATAGCCTGAGCATGCATTCTAGAAATTAAGAAGGGACGCTTGAAACATATATATGACTATTACTGAATGGCCACGGGCAACAAGTCGCAATGATTTTACGTCTAAGTAAGTAGAAAAAAGGGACTGTTGACGGAGGTGTATAACAGTATAAGTATAAGACATGTAAGAAGTCATGTCCATACATCCAGGCCTGTGAATAATGTAAGAAGTACTTATATTATCAGTCTGCTAACATGGCAAGTTCACAAGGAATTTCAAAGCGAAGAAAACGCCAAGTAAATTCACCATATCGATATTGAAAACGTTTCGGAGTCCAGCTCCATCATCAGTTCGACAAACTAAAAATGAATAAAATTATATTATAAATCAAAATTTTAAGACAGACATAAAACCTAAACAATACCTAACATTATATCAAAAATCAGGACTCGATTGGAACAACTTAGTCCTAAGGGTCACGAAAAAATATAAAAGCCTAGCGATGTATTATTTCGAAATTATATGAACTAAACGCATTATTGAGACGCGGTTTCCGTTTGAAGATATGTAGAGACTCCAAAATTCTCAAATCCGAGCAACCAGAAGTGGAAGCGAGTATCCTGAAATCACTCTCAGATACAGCCACGTCGCACTGTTCAGCATGGAGGCGAACGAAAGAATGAGGAGGCTCGGCGAGAGGCAAGTTAGAACGATAGCTCCTGCCACCGTGTTCAGAAACCCGGATGAAACAGTTACGCGACGTCATTCTAACGTACGCAGATGCGCAGCGCGCACAACTGTACTAATGGACCAGGTCTGATCTCATCTGGGCAGGAATAACGTCCTTATGCCTGAAGAAAGAACCAATTTTGAAATTATTTACAAGAGAAACATACAAATTAATATTTGGGAAATATTTCATAAAAAAATCTTTAGTTCTCTGGACATAGTTTCGGACGCACTACCAAAATAGGGCAATGTGCAATAAATAATTTTCTTACTATCGCATCCAGTCACAGTTTCAAAAAATTTGTTAGATAAGAAGCGTTTGATTTTACTAAAGACAAGGCACGATGGAAAACCATTAAGCTGAAATATATTACGAATGAATTTGAATTTCAAATGCATATCATGGAAAGTAGAACAAAACCTATAGCCGCGGTATATCAAAGTTTGAAGACTATTCAATTTGAAACGAAACTAGCAGAAGCTAGAGAAGCTCAAACCATACTCAAGTCGGTAAATGTCGGTTTTCGATATATGGACGTCTGAAAACGACCGCCAGACTAAGTCGTTTCTCGCAATCGAGAAACGACAAGAAATTGTTGGATTCTCCATGTAATTCCATAGTGAATTTTATTGAAGGATGTTTGAGGTTTAGATAATCAAAGAAAATGCCCGCATGAGAGGGATGCTTGAAGATTAGAAAGGTATCATCAATATACCAATTTATAGAAAATCGGTTTAAAATCAATGCGACAATCAGCAAACCAAGAAACCTCATGAAAGTACAGGAAAAAGTTAGCGATTGCGGGACCGAGGGGAAGGCCCATTCCTAAACTATCAACTTGCTTATAAAGTTTACCAGCGAAAATGAAAAAAAAGTTCATGACTGATAATTCCATAATCTTTTTGAAAAGTCTGCGGTTAAGACCGATCACCAGATCGGTCTTAACCGCTTACCCGGTAAGAAGTAAACGCATGCAGCAAAGTGAAAGTGCAAAAAAAGTTCTAACATGTTTTGACACGAACTAGGATTCCGTTTTGAACAAAAAAGTGAACTGTTAACTGTGATCGAAAACGAGTCCTAAAAATCAGGGAGTGGGTTCATTTTACCAGTTGAATTTTAGTTGCCAGGTTTTGATTGTTTTCAAATCAAGTTATCTGAGGAACATCAATCAGCTAGACTAGACTTGACTGCCAGAGAATCAGTGTGGTGCGAACTTTCTCTCTAAGGCAAAGATAGCCTCCTCATGGGCGTCGTGTATAGATCACCAAACAGTTCTTCTGATAACGATAAAGTACTAAACAGTCTTTTACCGAGCATGACTTTCCGTAGGTTACACACGATGATAATTGGTGATTTTAATAATCCAGAGCTAGCCTGGACAGATGGATCCTCTCCAAGGGATGAGAATCATCCAGTATTCTTCTTCATGGAGTCTGTGAGAGACCCCTTCCTAGTCCAGCACGTTACCAAGCCAACCCATTACAGAAGTAAACAGACTCCCAATATTCTAGACCTGAGACTAGTGATGAATCAATGTTAGATGAGCTTCGTCACGAGGCTCCATTGGGCAAAATCCATCACCAAGCATTGCTTTTTCAGTCTTAAGTGATGTACAGAAAAGACGCCTCGGAAGCGAAAGCGTTTGAATTTTGCGAAAGGCGACTATGATAAACTCCGTGAAGCAGTGAATGCAGTGAAAATTTCGAACTGTATTAAGGACATGAAGGTGGCTGAGTCATGGTCATTTCTCAAGGACACTGTTATGTTTGCAGTTGCTGCGTGTGTACCTAAAATTAAGCTTGATGGAGCCAAAAAACTCAGTGGACGAACAGTACAGTTCTAGCTAAGCTGAAAACAAAGAAGAAAGCCTACCAGCGTTATTTACACACTCGTAGCGATGCTGACTATAACCTGTACGCAAGAGCTCGAAAGCTGTCGCACCGTAGTAAAAACCATCGAAATAATATACGTTTAAAAATTACATTTTAAAGACAACACTTCCAAAGAATCCAGTGTCTCCAATCTTTCAGATGTACAATGAATTTATCATTTAATTTTCGAATAATAAAAAAATGTATTTTTCAAATTCTTTTTTAATATATAAATTTTTTAATATATAATTTTTTCAAAATTATTTATTCTGTTAATTGATTCATGCATTGCCTCTGACTTCACACAAGTGTGCAAAATTTCAGATCAATTAGACAGTCATGTACAGTGAATTTCTAATTTTATTATCAAATATTACAAAAATTAATTTCCGATTTTATTTGTAAAATTAAAAATATATAACTTTTTCAAAATTATTTATTCTGTTAATTGATTCATGCATTGCCTCTGACTTCACACAAGTGTGCAAAATTTCAGATCAATTTGACAGGTAAAAGTGTGCCAAATATCAGTTATGAGATTTGTAGCTGAGAAAATTATTTTTAGCGCATTCTCTCATTTATGGAAAAAATGCACTATTGTGCTCGCCAAGTCCGTCTGTCTGTCTGTCTGTCCGTCCGTCTGTCTGTCCGTGACCTCAAGTTTTCGTCGACGAGAAAATGCGCTCTCTGTCACTCACTGCAGTGAGTACTGAGTTATATTTTTTAAAATTTTTAATATAAAAAAATATTTTTTTTAATAATTTATTTTGACATTTATTTCATGCATTGTCTCCAATTTTACACAAGTGTGCCGAATTTCAGATCGATAGGATAAGTAGAAGTATATTAAATTTCGATTACAAGATTTGTAGCAGACAGACAAACAGGCAAGAAGTGAAGTTAAAGAGAAGTGTTGTAATAATAAATAATATGCGTTTAAAAATTACTTTTTAGAGACAACACTTTTAAAGAATCTAGTATCTCTGATGTTACATATGTACAACAATTTCTAA